TCTGAAGTTTTCCTTTAAATTCTACTTCTTACTGTTGGTCTTTGTCATTCACTTTACAGGTATTTCTTAAATCACCATTTGTTGTCCATTAAAAAGTGATTGGGAAACTACGTGGGACACCAAATCCCAGGTCTTCTCCTTCAGGAGAACTTGCTCTTCGTTCAGTGCTCTGCCTTGGGGCAACAGATAAACCTGACTGCCAGCATTCTACAAGCCAAGTCGGGTAGGGGCTTGGGTCTCACTATTCAGTATGCAGGATTTAACTTATTTTCTCTTTCAAGTATGGAATCTCACCATCAACCAAACATAAAGAAAAAGGCCATTTATATTTTAACAAGAAATTGATTAACCAAATATTCAATGAGTGGTTACTGTGGGACATTCACAGTATTTAAGGAGACAAACACTGGTAAATAAAGACATCTTTTCTAAAGGTAAAATGCATTCTTTAAGTATACCCTATGAAAGTATGGCTGCATTGCACTGTCAAACAAAAAGAAAAGCCATTACCCACCCCCACCCCCCCACGGAGCGGGAGGGGGAACCCATCGTGTTCCCACCCAGCCAAGATATATTTTTTGACACTCAATGGTATTAGGTAGCATCTTCTCTTGGACCTAGTGTTTTTAAATGACAGAAGAGTTCTGCTCCTCGCATAAGAACTCTCATTTAGAGAAATGTACCCAATGAGAAAACCTGCAAGTGCTTCGAAGCTGAGAAACCATTAACTAAAACAGGGCTGTCAAGAATTTGGATTTTGACACTCAAGGGCAAGCCATGGAGAATTTTGGAAATGGCTCTTAGAATTTCTAATTTACACACAATTTCAACCTGTAATGGTCTATTTTTTAATCTAGTAACTATAGCCTCTGGTTAGCAGAAACTTTATGTGACCTTTGCCCCTAAGGCTAGGATTACTATATTCCATCCATGCAAGAAAAAAATGCTGTACAAACAACAGCAACAAACGCCGAATTCAGGTTCTAAAACCATGCACTGAGAGACACACTCAGTAAAGCTGGATGATAACATGACCCTGGGGGAGTTTATTTCACTAGGAGCTGCCATCGTTACAAAAAATAAAAATGAGCAGTTATGTGTGTGCTAAGTTGCTTCAGTCATGTTTGACTCTGCGACCCTATGGACTGTAGCCCAGCAGGCTCCTTTGTCCACAGGATCCTCCAGGCAAGAATACTGGAGTAAGTTGCCATGCCCTTCTCTACGGGATCTTTCCAACCCAGGGATCAAACTCGCATCTCATGTCTCCTGTGTTGGCAGGTGGATTCTTTATCACAAGAGCCACCTGGGAAACCCAATAAGCAAACTCACAGAAAGCAATTCTTAGTCCCTTAGACAAAACTACTCCAAAGCTCTAAGGTCGGGCTTTCATCCACCAATGATGTCAGAGATCTGAGCTGTCTTCTCATGTCAAATACCTAGCATACAGAAATCACCTAATAAATATTTGTGGGTCATCTTGTTCACCATTCTTACAAAGTCCTTGCCATGATATAGTTTACATGCCACGGAGGGAAGAAAGATAAATTAAATAATATTACTTCAGGTACTGATCAATGCTATAAAGGAAATTATGGCGAGTAAGAGGTGAGAAAATGAGACAGGATGAGATAGAATATTCAGGAAAGGGCTTTCTTTGTGAAAGATAGATGGAGGAAGCCAAGAATGAGAGTCACACTTAGAAGGCTGCCACAGTAGTCTAGGTGAGAAATAAGAGTTTAGACTCGTATGGCAAGAGGGAACCTGGTTAAAGGTTTGGCCTGGGATACATACTGAAGGTACTGCTGATACACTGAACACAAAATGGGGGCAAACAAGGGGCCAGTGGTTTTCAAAGTAAATTGAGACAAAGTGAACCTAACACTTAAGTGTTCTATATAGGGGCAGAGAAGTCATTTCAAGTTATAACTACAGAATGGAACTGCATTTATTTACTGAAGTTTTTTGCCCAATGTACATTTATACTCGAAATGTTCTAAGGGTAGAGATACATCCCTAGTGTGGGGGGATAACCCGAGGTGTTCCAAAGCAGTGGTCCCCAGCCTTTTTGGCATCAGAGAGGGTTTCATGGAAGACAGTTTTTCCATGGACCCAGGTGGGGGAAGGCGGATGGTTTGGGGATGATTCAAACGCACTGCATTTATTGTACATTTTATTTCTATTATGATTACACTGTGATATATAATGAAATAATTATATAATTCATCATAATGCAGCATCAGTGGGAAGCCTTGGTCTCCCTCATTCTCTTTAGAATATAGGCATACATATATATATATATATGTATGCCTATATTCTAGATATGCATATATCCCTCCCCCGCTGCTCACCTCCTACTGTATGGCCTGGTTCTGGGGACCCCTGTTCTAAACCACGGGAAGCTTCTTCCAATGGCCAGAGAGTTCCTAGGTCTTACTGAGCCCAGTTATCCAAGACATATAGTTTCTTGGAGTGCCTTCCAATCACCCCTGAGCCAGTCAACAATCTTCCTAAGAGATCAGGCTGATGGCAGTCCCAGTCATGTGAACTACACATGCTTGTTACTAAAGAAGGCATCCAGGCTCACCTTGATCTCTGACCTAACAGCCTGCCCCCCCAGCACTAGCACCACACATCCGGTACCTCTGACAAATTAAAATTCCAAGCCACACAAAAGGCGGTGTAGTCACCGACCAAATCAGCTGTTCTCTGTTTGCCTTTACTAAACTTACTTCTTAATCTTGGCTGCACGTTGCAAATCACCCACAGAACTTTGGAAAAGTGATGCCTAGATTCCGATTCCAGAGATTCTTTTTGTTTCGTTTTGGTTTTTTGGCCACAACGGATGTGTGATCTTAGCTCCCTGACCAGGGACTGAACCTGCACCACCTGCATTCTCGCATTAGAAGGCCAAGTCTTAACCACTGGACTGCCAGAAAAAATATTAGTCACTCGGTCACATCCGACTCTTTCACAATCCCATGGACTATAGCCTGCTAGGCTCATCTGTCCATGGGATTCTCCAGGCAAGAATACTGGAGTGGGTTGCTATTCCCTTCTCCAGGGGATCTTCCTGACCCAAGGATAGAACCCAGGTCTCCTGCATTGCAAGCAGATTCTTTACCTTCTGAGCCATCAAGGACTGCCAGGGAAGTCCCTAATCTCAGAGATCTTGATGTAATTAATGTACGTATAGTTGGGGGAGGTGATGAATACTGGGATTAAAAAAAAAACACCTCAGGTGCTTATAGGATACACAGAATTTACAAACTCGATGTTGTACATGAAAAACTATTTTTACATTAACGCTTATGCTGTGGGTTGAATTGTCATCCCCCACCATGGGCTTCCCAGGTGGCACTAGTGGTAAAGAACCCACCTGCCAATGCAGGTAGACATTAAGAGATGGGGGTCAGAAAGATCCCCTGGAAGAGGGCACGGCAACCCACTCCAGTATTCTTGTTGGGACAGAGGAGCTTGGCAGCCTGGAGTCCACAGGGTCACAAAGAGCTGGACACAACTAAAGGGACTTAGCACACACAGAAGCTTCAACTGATATACCACCACCCCAACCCCCAAGAAAAAGTTCCTAATTCCCTGTACCTTCTTTGGAAACAGGGTCACTATTAAAGTTAAAATGAGTCCATACAGTAGGGTGAGCCCCTAGTCCAATGTGACTAATGCCCTTATTTATTTTTTTTTAAAGGCCAAAGACCAGACACAAGGAGAACATAAAGTGAAGACAGGCAGAAAACAGAGTGACATACCTGTCAGGGGACAAAGATTTCCAGCCAAGCACAAGAAGCCAGGAAAGAGGCAAGCAACCGTCTTCACAAGGAACCGAACCTGCCAACACCTTCATTTCTAGTCTTCAGAACTACAAGTAAAGGCACTTTTGAGGTGTAAGCCACTCAGTCTGTGGTACTTCACTGTGGCTGCTGCAACAAACTCAACCACCAGTTCGCCTGAATCTGTATATTGACCTTTTGGTTCTGACACAAGTGCAGCTCTCTTCCAGGACGTTTAACTTCTAAGCATCACTCACCCAGCGCCATAATATACAACACTACTTAATGCTTTCTTCCTCACTTACAATACATATTTGAGAATTCATGGTCTAAGGACTGTTTAACATAAAAGAATGAACAGAAGTAGGCATGGTACTTAAATCTCATGGAAAGACAATCAAAGAACTGGCCAAATAAATATAAAGTTGCAGACTTCCCTGGTAGGTTCAGTGGTTAAGACTCTGTGCTTCCACTACAGCAGGGGACATGGGTTCAATCCCTGGAGAGGGAAGTTTCACACACTGCAATGTGGCCAAAACATTAAAAAAAGAAAAAGAAAAAGGACTTCCCTGATGGTCCAGTGGTTAAGAATCCACCAACCAACCGACCAATGCAGGGGATGTAGGTTCAAGCCTTGGTCCAGGAAGATTCCACATGCCCAGGGGCAACTAAGCCTGTGCATGACTACTACTGCGCCACACTCTAGAACCCACGCTCTGCAACAAGAGAAGCCAGCGCCATGAGAAGCCTGAGCACCACAGCTAGAGAGCAGCCCCTGCTGACTGGGACTACAATGAAGAACAGCCCCCCCTTGCTGCAACTACAGTGAAGAATAGCCTCCACTTGCTTCAACTAGAGAAAGCCTGCACTCAACAGTAAAGACCCAGCATAGCCACAAAATAAAGATAAAAAAGTAAACAGAATTTTAAAAAATTGCAACTGTTGTTTGTATATAAGAAGCTATAACTGGTGCAGTGATGTTCCAGGATTTGCTCTTATTATATCAAATACAGCTGCTTTGCAGAGCAACACTTCAGCCAAGATCACCTTTGAGCCTCAGTTTCTACATTCAAGTAATAAGGATTAATACACACTTATAGGCTGTTAAAAACATGGAGATCCAGCATGATAAACCTTTCACTAAAAGTCCCTCTAATAAATATTTCATTGTCTTCTTAGCATTGTATGAACCCCCAAGCAAGGCTACAGAAAAAAATTTTCAGTGGGTGATCAAATAGAGAAAGACGAAGGCAAACACAAAACACCACTACAAAGCAGCAAACTGTCTAATTTCTTTTAAGAAATTTAATTTTCTTATAAGAAAGAAATAGAATACTTGAAACAACTTGGAAATACTCACATTTTCTGCAATACCTCCTCCCCACCGAGATAATGTATCCGGGGAAATTAAGTTGTCCTCCATGTGGAATGATGATAGAACTCTTTGACAGCATCAGGAATAGGATGTCTCCATTCCACATGTCACTTTGGTGACATTCTCAAATCTAAAGTCTTGATTATACCCAATTCTGTTTTCAGAAATCTCAAGAGTCCTTAACCCAGTCTTAAGTATCCCAGACTATTTTCTCCTCTAATTTCCCAATCTTATGCTGCATAGGCACTTGCTGTTCTAATTAGCATGGGGTCCTTTAGTTATTATCATTCATGATTCAGCTTAAATGCAACCACTTCCACGAAAAGGGTGTTGAAAGCCATGCTGTGCCTTCGTGCTAAGCTGCTTTAGTCGTGTCCAACTCTATGTGAGCCTATGGACTGCATGAATGCAAAAGCTCTGGGGTGTTCAACTGGGTTCCAACTCAAGTGCTAAAAATCTTCTACTGGCTTACTTTGTAAAATTATTTATACAAAGTCATGCTTGTAACATTCTGGGCTCTCGTGGTTATTAGATTTCACACCTTGAAGAGGACTGAGGGCCAACAGTATCATTATAAGGAGAAACGTGAGGGAGGCAGATAGTCAGAGAGTCTGAATTCACGCCTCCACTGGAGATACTGAGAGAAAATATAGGCCTGAGAGCTCCCTGGAAGGCGAGATAAGAGAAATTATAGATGAGGGAGCTCTTTGTGGCATCATAGAATGATATCTGCGCATACTCATAGTCGAGGAAAACTCCAACTCTGTGCACTCGCTCTCTGAAGGAGACCCTTTTGAAAGGGGGAAAAGCCCAGAAGGTGTGATCAGTTCCCATGAGAGAGCCTGTGAGTAAGACCTTATTTCCGGAACTGCTTCTGACGGTGGAGCTCCTATACACGCCCAGCTGCCACTGCGCCGCCTTGCCCACGTCCACCTCCCAGTAGTGCCGCCCCGAGGTGAAGCTCTGCACACCCAACACGGTGGCGCTGAAGTCAAATCTCTCAGGGTGACCGGGTACCCCGCGCCGCACGTTTCTAAGTCTCACACTTCTTAGATCCTCGGACAGGACCAGATAGGGATGAGCTGTTTTAGGGTCCAAAGTTATAGGTCCTGCAGGGAGAAGGAAATTTAGTTACCCGAGGGGTTCGTCAGTGCCAGCGACTGATGACTTCTAACATCAGGGGCTTCCTAATGAGATGGCACCAGTCTCAGCCACAGATATTGGAGAGGCAATCTAGGAAAGGCCAGATGAAGGGATCTCAAACCAGAAAGGAATTCTGCCAGGCCATAAGAATGACCTGACACCCAGTCGTAGCCCAGTATCACCTGGGACCCAACTCTGAACTCCCTAAAGATCTTCCCCAAGCCTGGAACCAACAGAAGTACTGGAGTCTCCCATAGAGCAGTTGATTAGTGACTCTGGCCTGTGACTGAACTTCCCTCCTTATTTTAAATATTACCAGGGCACAGCAGAGACATCTGGAAACTGCTGCCTGCAGGCCCCTAACATTGAGTAAATCAAAAGTGAATATATTAGAGGCCTGAAAACCTGTGAGAATCCTCCAGAAAAAGCAAGCTGAAGTCAAGAAGGCTCACTGTGATTTCTCATACTTGAATGAAAGTGGTACGTGTCTTCACATCTCTAACTGGTCCTCATCTCCTTCTGTTCAGCCTCTAAATACTGTGACCTCTCAGAGGTCGGCCCTCGATCTTCCTTTCTACTCCCTGTATATTCTTTTACTCTAAGTGACTTCATTTAGCCTCAGTTTTAAACATCTTCTAGATGTTCATGAGATGGTTGGATGGCAGCAGTGACTCGATAGACATGAGTCTGAGCAAGCTCCAGGAGTTGGTGATGGACAGGGAGGCCTGGCGTGCTGCAGTCCATGCGATCACCAAGAGTCAGAGTGACTAAACTGAACTGATATGTTCATGACTTACCCCTCTAAAAAGAAGACAAAAACCAGCTGGACAAAACACAGGAATTTCAAACATTCTCCATCCAAAATGGAAATCCAAACCTATCCTTTCCCAGTTTCTACTTTTTAGTGGAACACATCACTTATAGTTGGTCAAGCCATAAAACTGTAGCAGTCATTGATTTCTTTCTTTAGCATCTAATCCACTAGAAACTTTTATGGGCAAGTGAAGATGAATCTCTGGACCTAATTCATATCAGTATTAAAGTGGTCTTAAAAACCAGAAGCCTTGAATTTTAAATTTCAGCTTGTCCCAAGATCCTAGGATTTTCAGAAGACTGGCAGAAATAAATGCAAATTGTCTCTGGAAGAATGTACACCTTTTATTCCTATCCGAAAAGAACTTCTAAAAATCATATCTAAGGAAAAAAGGAAAGCTCACTATTAAAAAAAAAAAATCATTAACCACACACTCAAATTGAGACAAGCAGAAAAAAATCTAAAGAACTTTACACACTGGAATTGCCAGGCATAAACTCTACAATAAATTTTCCTTCTATGTTTAAAGAAAAAAAAAAAAAACTTCTACTGCTATAGAATACAGGAAACTAAAAAAAGCAAGACTAAGTGGGTTTGACAAAGAACTAAATAAGATTACCTAGAAATAAAATGTATTAAAATGCTAATGGATGATTACAAGGAAAGAAAGCTACAGAAAATATGCATTAACATAAATGCAAAAATTATTTTAAAAACATTAGTACATACACTTTGGCAATATATAAAATGGATAAAACATTATTACCAAGAGTTTATCCTGGGAATGCAAAGTTGGCTCAACATATGAAGCAAACATAATTCACAATAATGAAGAAAAAATGTATATTTTGGTAGATATAGACAAAAACATCTCTTAAGTTCAACATCTGTTCATGATATGAAGTTTTACTGAATCAAGAATAGATGGGGAACTTCCTCAACATGACAAAAGGCAACTGTGGGAAAACCTACAGCTAACATTAAAGGTCAAAGACAATGCTTTCTCCGTAAGATCAAGAAAAAGATTCTCACCACTCCTATTCACCATTACATTGAAGGTCCTAGTAAGTGCAATAAGTAAGAAAAATACAGAAAAGGCTTACAGAGTAGAAAGGAAGAAATAAACTGATATTTAATTTCATTAATAGAACTAAAAAACACTTAGGTATCTGTCTAATTAAATATGTACAATATTAGCTGAAAACTATAGAACACTGTTGAGAGAAACCAAAGATGACCTATATAAATGCTGGTATATCACCTTATCCCCAAACTGCTTTAAGGACTCAGTGTAACACCAACCAAAATTCTAGAAGGCTTTTTGTAGAAGTCAACAAGCTCGCTTCAAAATTTATGTGGAGAAAGATCTAGAGTGGCCAAAATTATTTTTAAAGAAAAAATCTGGAGAACTCACTGTGCCCAATTTTAAGACTTCTATAGAATAATCAATCAAGCCAGTATGATATTACCAAAAGGATAAATAACGATCAATGAACCTATTAGACTCAAAACAGGTCTGTTCATTTTCAAGTGATTTTCAAAAAATGATGTTAGAACAACTAAATACACATATATACAAAAAAGGAGGAGAGTTGTACCATATCCTGAAGAGTATATAAAGATTAACTTTAAATGAATAATAAACCTAAGAGCTAAAACTAAAACTGTAAAACTTCTAGAAGGAAATCTTTGTTGCGGTAAATTTCTTAGGCCACAAAAAGCACAAACCATTGGAAAGAAAATGATTAACTGAACTTCAAAATCTAAAACTTCTGCTCTTCAAAAGATACTACTAGGTAAATGAAAATACAAACCATGGGAGAAATATCTGCAAATACAGAGTCTCTTTAAATCCTTCAGCTATCTGGAATTTATACAAACATAAAGTGTCCTGTGATTATGGACAAGTGTCAACTTACTTTGCAGCACTTTGAGCATTTTGCTCATTCCTGTTATTTGGCACAAACTCAGGTCTGTGATTTGGGCGGGCTGTAAAAACTGATGCAGTAGTAACTCACTCCTGTTAGAGAAATGATGATCTCAGTTATCTATGCAGACTCCAGGCTCCTCCATCCATAGACGGTTCTCATCGCATGGCCTTCCTACCCGCATCCCAACACCTCCACCCTTGTGTGCCCACATATCAGACTGTGAATCTGACCCAAATGTTTCCAAAATGATTAACCTACCTTTCCAAAGCATATTTTGCATTCTGTAGGATGAAAAAAGAGTAAAAAAATTACTAGGGGGTATTTGAGCCAAGCCTTTTGTGACTTGGGCTCATGAAAATATTTTCTCTCATAATAACAAAACTCAATTTCCAAGTAATTTCTTCAGCCTCATGGTGCTAATTCTCAGATATCAAATTTCAACACTGAACAGGAAATCAGAAAAATGCCTGAAATCACTGTTATATTCCCAAGGGAAATAATTCTCTCTACTTCACATAGAGGATGCTCCTCATTCTAATTCTGCCCATCTACCTGATTTCTATACGGGGTGGGGGGAGGGGGCAGGAACTTAGCCTGCTATGCTGGGGATGGTGGCTGGAACCAGGTCAGGAATTGAACGTAACTAGGTCACACCTGTCTGCGCTATCTGGAATGAGGCTTGGCTCTAAGACAGAACCTAACTGTTTATGCCCAGGTGCATCTGGATAGTCTTTAAAATATAAAAATGTACTTATTGAAAATGGTAATCCTGTTGTGCTGTGCTGTGCTTCATTGCTCAGTCCTGTCCGACTGTTTGCAACCCCACAGACTGTAGCCCGCCAGGCTCCTCTGTCCACGGGATTCTCCAGGCAAGAATACTAGAGTGGGTTGCCATGCCCTCCTCCAGGCGAGGTTCCCAACCCAGGGATCAAACCCATATCTCTTGCATTGTAGGCAGATTCTTTACCATCTGAACCATCAGGGAAGTCCCAAGACATGCTCTTGAACAAAATTTAAAATATACAATACTGGGAGTGCCCTGGCAGTCACTAGACTCTGTGTGTGTGTGGGGGGGAGGGTGTATGGGGTGTGTGTGTGTGTGTGTGTGTGTGTGCTGAGTCAGAATGCCCTGTGTGTGTGGGTGTTTGCGTGTGCTGAGTTGGAATACCCTGGACTCTGCATTTTCACTGCTACTGTGTGTGTGTTTGTGCGTGCGTGTGTGTGTGTGTGCTGAGTCGGAATGCCCTGGACTCTGCATTCTCACTGCTAGTGTGTGTGTGTGTGTGCACGCGCGCGCGTGCGCACGAGCTGAGTCATGACCAACTCTTTGTGACCCTGTGGAGTGTACTCACTAGGCTACCCTGTCTATGGGATTTCCCAAGCATGTGTGTGTGGGGGGGAGGGTGTATGGGGTGTGTGTGTGTGTGTGTGTGTGTGTGTGTGTGTGTGTGCTGAGTCAGAATGCCCTGTGTGTGTGGGTGTTTGCGTGTGTGTGTGTGTGTGTGTGTGTGTGTGTGTGTGTGTGTGCTGAGTCAGAATGCCCTGTGTGTGTGTGTGTTTGCGTGTGCTGAGTCGGAATACCCTGGACTCTGCATTTTCACTGCTACTGTGTGTGTGTTTGTGCGTGCGTGTGTGTGTGTGCTGAGTCGGAATGCCCTGTGTGTGTGTGTGCTGAGTCGGAATGCCCTGGACTCTGCATTCTCACTGCTAGTGTGTGTGTGTGTGTGTGTGTGCGCGCGCGCGTGCGCACGAGCTGAGTCATGACCAACTCTTTGTGACCCTGTGGAGTGTACTCACTAGGCTACCCTGTCTATGGGATTTCCCAAGCAAGAATACTGGAGAGGGTTGCCATTTCTTCCTCCAGGGGATCTTCCCAACCCAGGGCTGGAATCTGCACTCCAGGCAGATTCTTTACTGCTGAGTAACTGGGGAAGCCCACTTACCCTATTAAAGGGCATGTCAATTCAAACTTAACTATTGATCAGTAAAGCAGCTCTGTACATATTATGATTTTAGGATGAGTCATAATGCTTTTGATAGTCTTCAAGTATGCCTGAAGATCACTGGGTACTGTATTCTAGCACTGACTCCTAATGAGTACTATCCATGTCTCATTTCTCAAATACTGTAGTGAAGGTTATTTCCAGAATCTTACCTGGAGCAACACTGAGGCGGGCTGCCTACACTTCTCCTCGAGCGCCACGGTGATCTGCTGGAGGCTACAGATCTGTTCAGAAAGCCTGATTTCACTCTCCTTTAGTTTCTTCATGTTCTCTCTCCCCACAAGGTTCAGTCTCTGAAAAGCATCTCTTTATTACTATTCAACAACTGGCAGTTTCTCTTACTCGCTAATTCAACCATCTCTTTAAAAACCCACTTTATCGCCTGCCAACCCACAAACAGATGTAATTAGGTAAGGTCAACATATTCCTCTTGTCAAGCAAGACACCTCAATAGACCCATGATTCTCTGACATACTGTATCTATGTTGATGTGGACCATATCCTCCTATCTACTTAATCAGTTCACAACCTGGACCTAAAACAGGTCACTTTTTTTTTTTTTTTGGCTATTCAGTTTGGTTCAGGAAGTTTCTTATTTCCTTCATTAAAACTAAGACTTACTATAATTAAAAATTAAATTCAGCTAATAATAAAATACATAATCAAACCACTGATACCAGGTTCCTTCCTACCCTTGCAAAGATGCTCCATCTAGGCACGTATGAGAATGTTCATGCTATTTTTTTCTTAATACAATTGATGTCATATTCTACCACTGATCTGCAACTTGCTTTTTTTCTTAATAAATAATATGCTCTTGGAAAGCATTCCTTATCCATACATATAGAGCCATGTTATCTTTTCTAAACGCTAAAGAGCATTCCATTGTATGTTTATACAATGCATTTCATGAGTCCAACATTGATGGATACAGGTTGAATCCACTCTCTTGCTATCAACAAATGTTGAAGTAATAACAACACCTAAACTTACATTTATATTACACAATAATGTACACATGTACAAACACTATTTAAAGAGTTTCATGTAGGTTATCACACAATATTATGAACTCAAGGCCACTATCCTTTTACATCTAAGGAAACTAAGTCAGAGCTTAAGCAGAATGTCTAAGGCCACCTATTGTCATTCAGTCCCTCATTCGTGTCCAACATTTTGTGACCCATGGACTGTAGCCTATCAGACTCCTCTGTCCGTGGGATTTCCCAGGTAGGAACACTGGAGTGCATTGCCATTTCCTCCTCCAGAGGATCTTTCCAGACCAGGGACCAAACTTGTGTCTCCTGCATTGAAGGCGAATTCTTTACCACTGAGCCACCAGGGAAAGTGTCCAACTAGACTAGTAAATTATAGAACCTAGTTAGGAATCACATCAGTTTGGCCTCAAAGACTATCTCTAAGTCATGGCTCTATACTGACATCATTTTACAACATCCCTTATGAATGTGTCTTTTTATATGCATGCAAATGTATCTGCAAAACAAATTATCAGGAATAGAACGGTGGGGTGACTATATATATATATACACACACACACACACATTATTTTAATAAAAGCATAGTTGTCAGTGGTTGTGCTATTTTATCTCTTTTCTTTCATTTCCCAAATATTGTGAGGGTGCCATGTTGTATATCTCACCTGTAGTGTTTCCTGGAACTTCTCCTTTAGCTTTGTGGAAAATTCCATCAGTTGGTTCTGACTGGTTTGTCTCAAATCCAGGTTGAATCTGACTTGCAGGCTTCGCAAGTTCATCTCATTTTCTTCAGTCATCAACCGGATCCTTATGCTATATTCAGACTCAATCATTTCTTTAAAATTCTGCTCCTCTTTCTTCATCATAGACACAGAAATGACAGATTTCAGCTTAAATACTACAGATAATTATTTATGGTCCCCTTCCATCTATAATTCTAACACAAATCCAAGGAAATATAAAGTACTGGGGAGGAAATAATAGGCATAGATACAAAGGACAAAGGGAATTTCAGGGTCAACATCAGCCAAGATATCAACACAATTTTTGAACATGAAATGCAGATAGAGACATGTTCACTGACAGAAAACTGAGGAATATACACAACTTCAGGACCAAAGAGCAGGAGATCAGGAAAACTGGAAGGCAGGACCAACGGCTTTTGCTGATACTTTGGATAGTGGATGAGAGGAAAAGAGGAATCAATGGGTGACCCCAAGGTTTTTAGATAAAGAACAGAGTTGCCAAAACATAAAATGGAAACTATGGATGGGACAGATTCTAGACATGGGGGGTATATCAGCAACTCAGTTTAGGATATGACAATTTTGATAAGTCATCCATCCAAGTAGAGATACTAGGCAAAAAGTTGGACATGAAAGCCCACTACTTTGAAAGTCTGAGCTAGAGACATATTTTGGGAGTAGTTGGCTTATTTAGGGACTAAATACAACTGTATTTAGGGACTTCCCTGGAGGTCCAGTGGTTAAGTCTCTGCATTCCCACTAAAGGGGCACAGGTTCGATCCCTGGTCAGGGAACTGATTCCACATGCAGCACAGTGCAGCCAAAACAACAACAACAAAATGACCACATTTAACCTCATGACACTACTGAGTCAAGATTTATCAAGAACCTGACTATTCTCACCACTTCTACTACCCCTTCCACCACAGTTCACCATCATCTGTCCCTAATTATTGCAAACAGTCCCCTTCAGGTCCCCCCCTACCTGTGATCTCACTCTTACAGTCTATATATTATTTTTCAGCTTCTGTTCCCTTAATAGACTTTTATAAGATATTGACTATAGTTCCCTGTGCTTTAGAGTAGATTCTTGTTAACTTTCTATTTTATATATAGTACTGTGAATATGTTAGGGCTTCCTGGGTGGCTCAGCAGTAAAGAGTCAGACTGCAATCCTCCTGCAATGCATCTCAATCCCAAACTCCTGGGCTTCCCTGGTGGTCCAATGGCTAAGGCTCCGAGCTCCCAATACAGGGGGCCTGGGTTCGACCCCTGGTCAGGGAACTAGATCCCATATGCCATAACTGAAGATCCTGCATGCCTCACCTAAGACTTGACACAGCCAAATAAATAAATATTTTTTTAAAAATAATCCCAAACTCCTAACTGACACACCCCAAATGGAAATTCTTAAATTGACCTTTGAATGGCTTCAGGATTTACACTGCCACATCCGAAGTACAAAAGATGATCACTCTCCTATGGCACTGTTAACTGCACTATCAGTCTTTTTTATATTTATAAATAAGGTATAAAAATGCCATCTCCCTAACAAATTTAATACAGTTAATTTGTATTTCTCTTAACATGAGCTTATGAACCAATTCAGTCTACTCAAAAGATTATCTGCATTTGCTTTTCTGTGAGCTCTCAGGTCTTTGATCACTTCTCTATTGAGCTTCTAGTCTTTTGCTACTGACATTTTGTTTTGTTGCAGTATCTTAGTTCCCTGAACAGGAATTGAACCCATGTCCCTTGAAGGGGAACTGTGTCCAATCTTAACCACTGGAACTCCAGGGAAGTCCCCTGCTTACTGACTTTTAAGAGCTCTTTATACATGAAGAAATTAATACCTTTCCTAACTATGGATTTTAAGTAGCTTTTCCTGCTGTGTCATTGGTCTTATGATGCTGTTTATGTTATTTGCTAGCCAACATTACAGGTAATTTCCACCCAAGAATCAAGATAAGCACTGACCTGCATCATCACCATTCTTTCTTGCTCATCAGCCAGCATGATTTTAGCTGCCTCAAGTTTCTCCTTCAATGTGTCCAACATCTCCTGGAATAACTTCTGCAAAGAAGTATATCACAGTAATTGCTTTACAACAGCTAGATTCCTAACCTTAGACAACTGAAAGGCCAATAGCCCTGACTACACATGGAAGGTCTACGTATGGTACTTATCTAGTATTCCGTTGACCAACATCAACTAAGGGAATGGACTTGAAGGATCAGAATACCTGTTCCCCAAACAAATACGGTAATTACTGAAAAGAGGAGGCAGCCAGAACGGCAGGGTGGTCTGGGATCCGTAGGAAGCTTACCCTGTAGTTCTCGGCCGCCTCTGGCACTTCATTCACCACCACAGGACTCCCATGCTCCTGGGGCGGGAGACTGTGGTCACAAACCGCCATTCGGTCACCACTGCGGAACAGCTGCGGTGGCTGCGGGCGTGTCTCACGGCGGACACCTCCTGGGATGTCTTGCTCTAACTGGGAGCGGGGCCTTTTGGACATCCCGGAAGGTGGCCCTCGCTGGAGACTATCAGGCTGTTTCTAAGGCGGAATACACCTCCCCGCACGCCGAACCGAGTGCGGTGTTCTAGGGCAGACGCACTCGTCAGCCTCCGTCCTCCGCAGTCAAGGGTCCTGGACTCTGGATCCAGCAAACCTTCTGCAGCCACAAGCCTGAGGAACGAGACACGATGAATTACACCAGTGGTTGAGTTCTCCGAGAATTTCAAGCTATTGAAAATAATTAGCAAGTGACAAAATAGCAAAGTGCTTCCCAGTAAGTCATATTTAAAAAAGAAGAAAAATGGTGCTCAAAGGAAAGCTGTGGCAAAGAGCAGGAAAGGAACTTCCGGGACTAAGAGCAGACAGAGCCTAGTCTCAGGCACTCAGGTCGCAAGCCGAAGGACCCCTCATTCACCCAGTTGCTTGCAGAGATCCTGAAAGTGAAGGCTTCTTGGGGCGGCTCCTTAAACCACACGGAAGGGAGGCAGAGTGTGGTCGCGTCCCAAGGAGGCGCTCCCTTTCAGGTCTGGCTCTGAGGTGCGCATGCCTGAGAGGAGCGCGCTCTGGGGCTCCACAAGTGCGCATGCGCCTGAATGAGGCCCCCATTTTTGTGCCTGAAGGGTAAGGCGTGTCTCTCGAGAGACTTGGCTGTTGAAGGATGTTTGCTGAAAAAAAATAAAGAAAAGAAAGTGAAGTCGCTCAGTTGTCTCCGACTCTTTGCGACCCCATGGACTGTAACCTACCAGGCTCCTCTGTCCATGGGATTCTCCAGACAAGAATACTGGAGTGGGTTGTCATTTCCTTCTTCAGGGAATCGTCCCCTCCAGGAGAAGCATCCCCTCCAGGGATCGAACCCCGGTGGCCCGCATTGCGGACAGACGCTTTACCGTCTGAGCCACAAACCCTCAAATAAATAAACCTTTTTGAAAATACTGAAGGGAAATTGCACATAGTTATACGTTCATATGGGATTTGGCCGTGGCGCTAGTGGTAAAGAACCTGCACGGCGATGCAGGAAATGTAAGAGACATCGGTTAGATCCCTGGGTCAGGAACATTCCCTGGAGAAGGCCATGGCAAGCCACTCAAGTTATTCTTGCTTGGAGAATCCCGTGGACAGAGCAGCCTGGCGGGCTACAGTCCATGGGGTCGCAGAGTCAGACACAACTGAAGAAGCGCCTTAGCGCAGCACAGCGCAAATGCACATATATGGGCTTCCGGGGTGGCTCAGTGGTAAACAATCCGCCTACATTGCAGGAGACACAGATCCCATCCCTAGGTGAGGAAGACCCCCCCAGGGAAGGAAATGGCAGTCAGCTCCAGTATTCTTGTCTGGGAAAGTCCCTGGACAGAGGAACTTGGCAGAGGTAGGGAACTGAGCTACTAAACAACAAAGTATGTGCATAAATACATGTAGGTAATACATATATAAATATGCACATATGTGCATATATACAAATATATTTTAAGAAAACAGAACAAGTGATCTATAATTCGTGCATCGCCATTTCCAGACAATTCTGATAACGTTTGAGCAACAATTCCACCTTTTCACTAGATATATTTTAATTATATTCTTAAAATGTATTACCTACTGAATTTGGAAATTTTTCCCAATGAGGAATCGCCTTAGTTTCCTTGTCTAACCCCATCTGTAGCCATTGTCGATGACACTGTAACACCAGATATTAATTTCTCAAAATTCTCTAATTTAACGGTTTGCCCATTCTGTCTCATTAGCCAGCTATTTTTAACAACATCTCTTGCAAAGAATCAACTTGAAAGAAAACAGAACTCCGAAACTTCCATTTCTGGATTCATTAGCTTCTTTTTGCCTCTCATGCTTGCAATTCCACCCAAACTTGACCATCTACTGTGGAGCCCTATACCAAGGTCACAGGTGTGAAGCCATGCACCAAGATCACAGGATAAAAATCTCTGAAACTGACCAAGCCCCATAGCAACTGTTGCCATGAGCCTCCAGATCTAAACCGGCCAGGTTCCTGACACCTAATGACATCATTCCAGTAGGAATTTTCTGTCTTGAGGCTATGGACATTGGCTGCAAGCCTGCCAAAGTGTTCGGCTCTCCCTTGAACCAACCCACTGTTCTAACACTGTTTTGTCTCTCTCTCTCTAATAAACTTTATTCTCTTCTCATTCTGCCTGATGTCTGGAAATTCTTTTCCAGCCCATACACAGACCATGACATCACCTAGGCCTTTCACTCTTTTTTAATTTTTAAGGTACATGAAACAATAAAAATTCTGAAGTTGTTATTCTTACATATTCAATATATGAAGACATTGTTATTTTGCTAGGGTACATGCTAAAGCAGCAGACTTGATTTGCCTTTTCACAGTGTTGACATTTGCACTGATAGTAGATAAAATTTCTGGTGTCCTACCATCAAGGAAGTAGCACCAAACAGGACCACAGGCATTTATTGTATTTTTAAAATCTCTACCTATTTGTAGACTCCCAGTTTAAAAAAAAAATTAAAAAACCTGTTTTACTTAAAAACATTCATATTTCTTGATGCTGTGGTAAAATATTAAATCTCAACATTGAGCACAGAATTTAGGGACTTCCCTGTCAACCCTGTGGTTAAAACTCTGCACTTCAAATTCATTCAGGGAACACAAGTTCGATCCCTGGTCAGGGATCTATGATCTTACATGCTGAGCCATGCTGCTAAAAAAAAAAAAAAAAAAGTATAGGATTTAGCATACCAGATGACAGGATAGAAATGTGTAAAACATTTATGTTGCATATGGAAAAACAATGGTTGTCTCACAAAAATGCATTTTTTTTCTGATTGAGTTGCAAGTCATACTAGTGCTATTTTTTTCATAGGTCATTTTTAGTAGAAAGAACAAGTGAGATAGACTGTGGTCATCCGCATGTAGTGATTTGGAAAGACATTTTCTCAAACACTGTCATCTCAAGGAAACTAAGTGTATTAGTTCCCAGTGATAAAATCTGAGCTTTTAAGCAAAAACGAGAGCTTTAGAAAACTCATATCTCCTATTCTAAGTTTGACAGCTTCCCAATACTTGGTCTTTTCTGATGAAATTAGTAGAGATATTAACAACTGATTGTTTTTGCTATTGTAAAATTAAATGTGTCAACATTTGGAAAACCTGCAAATTCAGTGAACCAATTAAAAGATGCTTGCTCCTTGGAAGAAAAGGTATGACAAACCTAGCCAGTGTATTAAAAACCAGAGGTGTTACTTTGCCGAAAAAGGTCTGTATAGTCAAAGCAATGGTTTTTCTAGCAGTCTTGTATGGATGTGAGAATGACTGCCAAAGAATTGATGCTTTTGAACTGTGGTGTTGGAGAAAACACTTGAGAGTCCCTTGAACTGCAAGGAGATCAAACTAGTCAACCCTAAATGAAATCAGTCCTGAATATTCATTGGAAGGACTGATGCTGAAGCTGAAGCTCCAATACTTTGGCCACGTGATGTGAAGAAATGACTGATGGAAAAGACCCTGATGCCGGGAAAGTTAGAAGGCAGGAGGGGAAGGGGACAACAGAGGATGAGATAGCTGAATGGCATCACCAACTCAATGGACGTGAGTTTGAGCAAAATCTCAGAGATGGTGAAGGACAGGGAAGCCTGGTGTGGCACAGTCCATGGGGTCACAAAGAGTCAGACACGACTAAGTGACTGAAAAAGTTATTTTCTAAAAGCTCAATGCATGATGTTACAAGATTATGAAAGGGTAAAATGGATTCAAAGTATAAAATCAGTGAACTTTAGTGTTACCGAGGACACAACATTCATTAATATGATTTAAAAACAAACAATTATCTGAAAAGGTATTGAATGATTTCCCCTTTTCCAACTATGTCCTAGTGTGAGGAGACACTTTCTTCATGGACTCCAACTAAAATAATATTGCAATGGATAGAATGCTAGAATAGATATAAATCAAAAATTAAAGAGATATGCAAATTTTAAAAACCATGCCACTTGTCTTGAGGAACTGTTCAGAAAGGTTCTTCATAAAAATGTTATGTTTATTTTTAATATTTCTTTGAACCATGTTTAAGCCTTTCAGCTGTTTTTCACCTGACAGGTTTTTGGTCTTTATTTCTTAATTTAAGATATACATTAAATACACTATCCCCTTATTATACAAATTGCAAATATTTACCCTCTACTATCATCTGGATTTGAATTTACTCCAGTTATTTTTTACTGGGTCCTTTCAAATCCTTGTAGCTTCTCTTGTCTTGCCTCCCTGAACATATCCTAGACTGAAAAACCAAAACAGAACACTGATCCATTACAAAAATGAAGGCATTTAGAAAGTCAGTGGTCACTCCTGGCTTTATCTTGAGCTCTCAGCAGTCAACACAGTTGGCCAGGAATGGTTTCCTCTCTTTGCAATCAGGATCCTGTAAATGACTTAATTTGCCTGTTTCTCAGCATTCTTTTTTTTTTGGCTTTGAATCCTCTTGAACCTCTAAATTTTCACAGGCTTCAAGGGTCAGTGTTGGTCCCTTCCCTTCTACTTCTAATATCTCCCTAGGTAATCCACATTTACTTCCAAATGTTTGTTTAATCATCTACCTAGACCCGGTGCTCCCAACTCATCTGCAATTCAATATCCAATAAGCACCCACATTAACATGCCTGTAACACTTTTGGATTTTAAACAATAATGCCTTCCCTTCCCCTAACTCCCTGGTTACTCAGATGTTAAAGAATTTGCCAGCAAATGCACAGATGTCCCTTTGATCCCTGGGTCGGGAAGATCCCCTGGAGGAGGAAATGGCAACCCATTCCAGTATTCTTGAGTCAGACCCCAGACTCACTTAAAAATTTCATTTGGATGCACCACGTAAGCCACCATCAATTCCTCACCTCTATTAGTTCATACTCAATCCTGCCCTACTCCTATCTCCAAATCCTCAGCACAATAGCCAGAATACTATCTTTTTGGAGGTAAGGGCTTTTTAAAAAACAACAATAACAACTTTTTATTTTATAT